ATACTGCACAGCCAGGTATCGCTATCAGGGCCAAAAATTGCCATTGGTGCAACACTAAATAAAATCCAGACCAAAACCAGTTCATGGTCCATCTACACCAGCGGTGAGCAATTCCAGTTCCTGAGGGCCGCTATCCTGCAAATTTTAGATGTACCTTTGGTTCAACACACCTGAATGAAATAATTCGATGATTAAAAGGACTCTGGAGGAACTGACTGCACACTGAGGGGATAACTCAGCTATTTGATACAGGTGTGTTGGACCAAGGATGGATCTAAAAGCTGCAGGATACCGGCCCCCCGGAACTGGAATTGCCCACCCCTGATCTACCCTAATCACACTGAAGGAAAATGAGTATCTTTCTGTATTTTCAAAATAGATAATTGAAAACAGGCATCTTTTTATGAAGCCTTTGACAAAATATATCCACATATATTAATTCATAGATTTCAGCTTCAATTTCATATTATGTAAATAATTAATCTGTATATCTATAGGGAGTTATGGTTAATATTCTAACTTTCCGCTTGAGAGCCTCACTGCTGCCACCCTCTGGTTTAGAACTGCTTCTTGAATTAACTTCCACCACTTCCTGAATCAAAGGCAGCTGCTTTTTTTTTACCGTCTTTCCCAAACCAGTCCCTAAACCCTAAGCACTAACCCTCTGATTGCTCGCTCCCGCGGAAGAACCTTCATATTAAGGGTCGTCCCAAAACACATAGTTGGTTGGACCATTCAGCCCTTAAATCAGTGCAGGCAGGGCAGTGGGTGTAACAGCGACATGATGGCAGACTGACAGAAAATAACAAGTTAGGAAATGAAAAAAGGCATCATTAATTCCTAAAGGCAGGCATCCCCAAAGTCGGTCCTCGAGGGCCGCTGTCCTGCAGGTTTTAGAGGTCTCTCTGCTTTAGCACAGCTGATTCTGATGATTGCAGTTCAGCAAAAGCCTGTTAATCAACTATCAATGTAAGTCAGCTGTGCTGGACCTAGAAACCTCTAAAACCTGCAGGACAGCGGCCCGCGGGGACCGACTTTGGTGATGCCTGCCTAAAGGGAAGGTCCTCTTTGAAATTCTTTTATTTGATCATATAAATTTATTTGAAGAAAGGGGCAAGTGGCCGATGTCATGTCAACCTGTGCCACAAAGCTGCAGCCATGCACGTGGAATGCCATTGTGTCACCATAGTAACGACTGCTTTACTGGTCCATTAGAGTGAATAGGTTGCCCTTTTCTTGTTTATACCCCCTCACCTGTGACCTCACTGGGAGTGACCCTCAGTAGTTAAGAGGTAGTTGTTAGGGAGCAGTCTGGGATTGGGGTTCCATTTCCTCCACATTGGAAAAACTAATTACCTGACTGGGGTTTGCTGCACAGCTGGCCAAAGGTCGGCTCTTGGTGGCCATGGCCGCCCCCCTAGCTCTGCTTCTGCCAGTAGGAAAGTCATTTGAACACAACGTTGTCTCCAGTTAAAAAAAGCAGCCAAATATCTTGTGTTTATAAATGGGTAGAAGAGGAAGGAACCTTTAAAAGTAAAGTACTGGTTGAAAGTCCTTTTATTTTGAAAAATTTTTTTTTTCATTTATTTCTCTGAGATCCGGCAGTAAAGCAATGCAGAGATAAATAAGCTGTTTTATGTATATATAAACTTCCTTAACTCAACCTTCTTAGATTTTAGCCACGTATGATTTAAAAAGATTTCAAGAAAAGTGTCTTGGATGAATGCTCCTTTTTGTTTTCACTGGCTCTCAGCAAAGGGTGTTTGAAGTCAAGTCAGAGATCAATCCATACTCCCAGAACCGGCTTTAGCCCCCTTAAATAAAAACAACCAACATGTCTTTTTGTCTGAATCCAAGGTTGGGACTAGTTTTCAGACTCTAAGTCTCTACATCCTCTATTATAAATGGGAAGGTCGGACCAAACAGCATCCAGGCAGAAATCTGACCTCCTGGAATGATATTATTTAGACCAATGAGTGTAAAACCGAAACGTTTGGACAGCAGGAGGCGACCTGCCAGCTGTGAAGCATGGTGGTGGAGGTGTCATGGTTTAGGAATTATTAGCTGCACCAGGAACTGGACCAGCTTCCTTTCATGGTGTCCACCATGTGAGGGGGGGTGAGGAAAATACAGGAAAGGAATCCTCCACTTCCACAGCCCGACGGCTGGGACTTTGAAATGGATAATATTTCCATAAAATCTGCATTAATGTAAATAACATTGATCATTTCCTAGTAAAGAGCTAAATATTTGACAGCCTGTCCCAATTTTTAGTTTCCTTCCTTTAGTTTTTGAAGGCGTCTCCCAGTTCCTTGAACAGGTTGAACCTGCGTCTCACTGATGTGGAGCTGATCCAGTAGCCGTCCGCCTCGCTGCAGCAGCCGCCGGCCTCGTCACACCAGGCCTGTCTGTGACAGCCCATGCTCCATGGCAGGAATGCTCACCCCCACCTGCAGATAAGTTGCGACAGCTGTAAATTGAAAGGAGGAGGGAGCTGCTATTTTTATCTCCCATTCAACCAGGCGAGGACCCCCCTCCTTTCCCAGTTTGCTAGTTCTGTAGAAGGCCACCGGTCCTTCTGGATCTCTCCTTTCTGCCTCAGACGAGAATCTTCTAGAGGCCGGAGCGCAGCATTAAGACTGGGAGACACAGGCGGTCTGGGGGAAGATCATAGAGAGGAGGAAGACCTCAGAGAAACCAACCAACCGGTCCAACATGGCTCTGTGTTACAACAAAGGCTGCGGCGAGAAGTTTGACCCCAGCAAGAACAAGGATGGTGAGATCCTGCCTACTTCTGCTCCTTCTCTGTCATATTTAGGATTGCTGTTCATTTAAAAGCATAAACTGTGTCCTCTAAAGGAGCTGTTGGTGTCAGCTGAGGTGATCACTTATGGTGAAGACTATCATGTGTTTCTCTGGCCTTTATTTGCAAATCAAATGGAAACTTGTGGTTAAAAAAATATGGAAATGAGTTATAAGCAAACAGAAATGTGCAAAAAGCAACTGATTAGACCTGGATTTGGCCAGAAAGTTGAAAAACAAAGTGTTAGTTGGATGTGTGCAGCATGGGAGGCAAACAGAGCGTGATCAGCCACGTTTTTATGGAAGTGCTGCTGGAGGCTCCTTATATGGGACACCCAGGCCTCTATGGCCGCCTGTGCCAACAGCTGTTAGGACCTGCTCACTACATGCAGCCTGACATTTCCTGTCCCTACAGATTCCTGCATCTTCCACCCAGGAATCCCCATCTTCCATGATGCCCTGAAGGTGAGCAGATCCTCAGCTTTTCACGTTGATCATAAACGTTCGCAGCAAGGCTCCATGTTTACTGTGTCTCTGCGTCGGTAGGGTTGGTCCTGCTGTAAGAAAAGGACAACGGACTTCTCAGAGTTCCTCTCCATCAAGGTAACAGCTCTGGGTCGAATGAGTGCATTTCATTTAGGATCCTTGGGAATATTTGCAGTGTGAGCAGGAAAACATCAGAAAATATTCAGCTCCTTTGATGAAACTTTAATCAAGTAGAGGAAAAAGACGTTTCATGTAAAATGGAGTCAGAGTAAAGCTTTTAACTTCCTACCCATCTGCTAACAGCAGGGTGATGAAATCTAACCGGGGAAACTAGTGGATTATTCTTCAACCCTTTATCTAAACAGCCTTCATAACCTTTAAGGAGTCAAAACAACATTCAATTATTAACAATCACTGATTTATGAAGGATTATTCAGAGGCTTATGGGAATAGGGTTCAATTCTCAAAGATCTGACTTATTTCTTCAAATTGCTGAGAAGAAATCCAGAACTTTTACTTTAATTTTAGTCTTTTTTTAAAATAAAATTGGTGTTTCTGCCAAGATTCTGAAAATAAAGTCAGATTTTCGAAATGATGACATTAAATGTAGTATTCTAAGAAAATATTAGAAAAAAATGAACTTTAAGTTTTCTCAGAAACCCTAACCTCTTTTTTTTGCACAAGTACAAGTCAACGGAAATTTTACCCAGTGTTGCAAATAAATCAATAAATAAAATTGTGAGTTTGCAGCCCTTCATAAATAAATATGAAATGAAACACAGATATCAAGCAAATCAAAGGGAAAGAAAACAGAAGGTGGACAGTCTATGGAAGCCCACTTTGGACTTTATAACAGAAAAACACCAAAACCATACATCCCTCAGCACACAGCACTGTGAAACACGGTGGTGGCAGCATCATGCTGTGGAGGCTTTTCTTTCGGAGGGTCTAAATTAGCTGCTCAGAGTCTACAGGAAAACATTTTTTCCATTAACGGCCGAGCGACGGCAAATTTATCAAAGGCTTAAACCTGAAACGATCCAAATGCTGAGCGTGTGACGCTGCTGCGTGTGAATTTATCTCAACAAGCTGTTCTGCTGGTTTTGTTTATGTGGTGAATCTGGGATACCTGATAATTTTAACCTGCAATGTTTTATCCAAATGTGAGATTTGTGAACCGTTCTAAATGATTTTATGGAAATTAGAGTATAAACTGCCTGTTAGAGCTTAAGTGGACTTAATTGGTCATTGATGGCAAAAAAAAAAGCTTTCTTTACTCATTTTCTGCTTTTGCAACAACAAACACATCCTAAGCTGTGTTTTACTCACCCAATTTTCATTTATATATTCATAAATAAGGTGTTGGCTTTCAAATGATGTATCACACATGTAGTTTGGGCTTATAGTTAATCAGTTATTTGGTTTTCCATTTGGGTCTGCAAAATAGGTGAGGATTACTTCAGTAGAGCTGGGTGTTAAGGAAGGCGTGGAATAATATGGATACACTCTAACCAGGCTCCTGTTTAAAGGAACGAATCATTTCATTATTAAACTGAATAATCCTATTTTTTAAATATGTAACCTAACAATTATTAGATTTTGTCGCTGGTGTTTCTGTATAATTACTGCAGGACAAACATCATGCAAATTGATGCTCTTTGCATCAATATTTGATTCATATTTTACAGCTACGGCCTCAGGAACAGGAGTTGCAGTTTTACTCATTCCTGATTATGTGTCACAACTTCATGAAATCTGAATATCTTAAAATCTTTTAGATGTTAATATCGTAATAATAAATAGTAATATATTGGCAGATTGAATCAAGAAATCACTTAAGGCAGAACCTTGTTGACAACATGAAGCAGGCAAAAAGGTCTCAAATTCATAAATAGAAGAGAAGAAAAGTTGCTGACACCAACTTTTCAAACAAACCAACATATCGTACTTGCAGGCAGACACGGTGGTGGCAGTATGATGGTCTGGGACTGCTTTGCTACTCTGGAACCTGAGCTTTTCATTGAAGGAGCCATGTAACTCTGCTCTCTAGCAGTGGATCCTATGGGATGTTTACCGCTTTAAGCTCAGTCACTTTCATCTTATAAAAACCTTAAAATAATCTATAAATAAAGGTCCTAGTCAAAGGCTGGAAATTAAATCCAATTGAAATGAAGTGATATGAGTTTAAACTGGTTTGTTATGCATGAAATAACCTCCAACAAAGCTGGATTAAAACAATTCCTTCCAGAGGAAGTGGGTGAAAATGCCTCCTTAGTTTTGTCAGTCATGCTGAGAAGCTTTCCTAACAAGGAAGATATTTTTATAACACTTTCTGTATTTTTTAAACTCCAATCCGCAGTGTATCCAAAGTAGAGGAGGTCCTGATCTGACAGTACCTCTCCTCTCCCCCCACAGGGCTGCACCCGTGGGCGCCATAGCAACGTGAAGCCTCAGGAGCCTCTGAGGCCCGAGGTGTCCTCAGACAAAGGCCAGATCTCACACACCAACGGCCAGGAGATCATCTATCAGGGCCCCAAATCCGCCGAGGCGCTGCAGAAAGAGAGGCCCAGGTGAGGAGCCCCTCCCAGCCCCCGCTGCTCATCTGAGGGGATTCAGTTTGCTAAGACATCACCGTTAGTCAGATCCAAGCTGTGCATGCGTTCATTCAGAGGTCAGGGCGGGGTCACCTGCAGCACACGTCGGGTGATAAATAACGCAGCACGATGGGGTCTTTAGGTTCAATTGATGCTGATTTATTAGGTGGATTTTTACTGTGTGTTTATATCTGTGCAGCTCAGATCAGCCTTTGACCAAGCTGCCCCACAAAGTGTCAGCGTCGCTCCTGCAGGAGCTGCAAAAACTGGGACTCAGCAACAGCGCAGAGAGCGAGAAGAAAGGTGAGTCCTCCTGCTTCCCTGCAGAACTTTGCTTTGGGTTTTACAGAACGCCTTCAATCCCAAACAGAAGCACAGCTGTTCTCTTCTTATATCCTTTTACTCTGAAACATCCAGGGTCGTATGAAACATGCTGCATGATTCTATTCTGCTTTAAATGAACTCCCACTCTCAAACGTTGCTTCAGGAAAACCCGAGGCCAATTAATCCAACAATCAGGCAGGAGAATCAGAGATGCAGTTGATTTTTCAGGTTTTTATTTGTATTTTTCTATCAATTTGTCTCACGTCAATAAATCTAAATCTACATAAGTCATTTTATCTTAAAAAAGTGCATTTTGTCTTGAATTGAGGAGGAAAGTGAGACATTTTGCCAATAGAACCAGACAATTTACATGTAAATTAAGAAAAAAACTATTACATTGTCTTATTTCAAGTGCATATTATCTAATTATATTATTCTAAGAGTGAAAATAATCATCCCATTGGCAAACTATCTCTTTTACCTACTCAAATTAAGAGTAAATACACTTAATTTAAGACATTTTTACTTATTTCTAGATCTTTTTTTTTCCAGTGTGAGTAAATATGCACAATATCCACTTTTGTTTGTGATACACCCAGACAAAGTTATCAATAACTATGAAGTTTAACTTAAATACATTGATTTTATTTCCCCGTTTGGCCTCCCATTAGGGGGGCATCCCCATAGCATGATGCTGCCACCGCTGTGTTTCAGGAACTGCAAAAACAATCTAAACAATTTTTTTAATTAGTATATTTACCTTTAATTTCAGTAGCTTAATAAGTTGATCGGCCAATAGAATTAATATATTTACCCCTTGAAATAAGATAATTAAATATTATGTGCTTGAAATAGGAGACTGCATTTGCTTATTTTTAATGTTAAGTCTAAATAGACCCACTTACCTGCTCAATTCAAGAAAAAATAAACAAATTCTAATAAAAATGAACTTATTTATATATTGATTGCAGGGAAAGATTCTGTTTTCAGATTGATTTGTGATGTTTTAGCTTAAGTTCTTGGTCCCCATCTGTCACCTGGCTTATGACAAAACTGCAAACATGACTTCTTTTTTTAAATGCTCCGATTGTGAACAGTAATATCCTGGTGACTGATTTCCTCCACCTGAGCTGTGGAGCTCCTCCAGAGTTAGAAGAAGCTTCTTGGCTTCATCTGTTTAGACGGCCGGCCTCCTGTAACATGGAGCTTTACAGCCACAGATGAATCAATGGACCTTCTAAAATTTCCTTTAATAACTAAGAACCAACAAATGTTTTTATATACACTTTTATATTAGTTAAATTTTGTAGAATTTTCTCAAATTGTTTTATAAAAAGAACGAGAAATGCTTTCCTAAGCTTTTTTTGTGTGTTATTTATTTTATTAGTTGTTAAAGTTTGAGTTTTAACCTACAAACAGGAATAAAGTTGGGATTTATTACAAATGGCAAAATGTTTCATACAGTAGATATTTGACAACTTTCACCTTTTAAAAGCAGATTTTGCTCTAAAGGAGATTTATGTTGCTGGATTGAAGGCAGAAATGTTTTTTCTAACAGAGCACCTACTTCACACACCAGACGATGTTTACTAAATAATAACCTCTGAAAGTAATCGTTAGCCTTTTTATTTACAGGTATCAAAGTGAAGGGGTGGATATATGGCAACCATCTTTTTTTCCTTGTAAAATCTTCCTAAAATCACAAATCTAACCTTACCCAGTCGTGCCTGACTTTGTGTTGATGGGGTGGATGAACATTTCTATGCATTTAATTCAACAGTTTATTCATTCTAGTTCAGTTTCATCCTTTAAACTTTCCATGAATTCAGCCCCATCAATCTCCACCTGCATGCTGAAAGACGTTGTTCATTTTTCAAGATAATTGAATTGGAAATTCTTCTAACCTGTCTTTGTTTTGTCTCCCAGAGAGTGAGAATGTTATGCACGGGACGCGCTGCAAGAACACAGGCTGCAAAACAGTGAGTGTCTCCTCCTGGTGTGTTTCAGTGGGTGTGTGTGTGTTTAGGTAACGTCTCTGGTATTCCTGCCGAGGCCCAAAATAGTCACTGATCTGACATCAGCAGAAGCTGAGAAATTCATTATCTGCACCGGTGGCTGATGTCTGCACATGGGAGGAAACGGCAAGAACTGCTGAATGCAGTGATTTCACATTACGGCTGCATATTGCCATCGCTCTGTCTAAAACCTGCTTTTTTTAATCATTTAAACTTTGTTTCTTTGAATTATTCACTTGGATGCTGCAGTGGCTGACTTACCCTAATGTGTCAAAAGGCATCATTAAGAGTTTTTACATAATGTGAAGTTACAGCAAACAACAGTTAATCTCATTAGGGTTTAACTGGAAAAGGTGGTGCATGATGGTAGAGTGGGAGAAAATAAAGGAGGGTTTATAGGACTTTAATGAAAATCTGTATGGTTTGAATATCTGCCTTTATCTGCATATTGCTTTAATGTGAATAAAGATAATTGCAAACGCCTTCACTAGAAAAACAGGCAGAAAAGATATTTGGCAGAAACTTGTCTTAGACCATCATCCCAAATAGGCCATGCCCTCTATGAAACATGGCGGTGGCAGCATCATGCTGTGGAAATGCCTTAGTTCTACAGGGAAGCTACCTACCTAAAGGAAAAAAGATGATGGATCAGACTAAATACTTGGCAATCCTTGAGGAAAACCTGATAGAGGCAGAAAAAAGCTTGAGACAATTGACCAGAGGTAATTTCCTTAGAGACAATTCAACAAGATCATACAGTCAGACTGGTTCAAAGTTTCCTGTCAAAGGAAAACCAGCTGATTGCATCAACTCATTGACTAGAAGGCAATCTCTTACACTAAGCATGCTTGTAGCGACAGTGGAGAGAAAAAATCCCTTTTAACAGGAAGAAACCTCCAGCAGAACCAGGCTAAGCGGCCGAGTCTGACTGGGGTTCAAGGAGACATAAGCAGACCTACAAGAGAAACATAGAAGCACTGGTCTCTAAATACCTTCTGGGTTAGAAGAGTAACTGTAAATTATTTCCACAAGGGAGCCTCCGTCTGGGAGAGAAACAGTTAAACTGACAAACTCTTAGCCGTTTTTTATGCCAATAGTAATGAACTAATGAACAAACCTGAGCATGTATCAATGTCTAGGAGAGAAACAGGACCAAGCACTGGAAATTTGGGCCAACTCTTTATTCTTTTAAGGAAGGTGTTGATGGCAGCAGCCCAGCTAAAGGCCAAACAGGGACATAGCAGGTGAAGCTGCTTTGATGAGAAAAAGCAGACGGATCATAAAGTTAGGGGCTGAACTTATAAATGCTGCAGAATGGGAGAATAGATTAGACCAGAATGGCCTAGTCAAAGTCCATCACTAAATCTATTAGAAAATCTGGCCGGTGTTAGATGGTTTCCTTCTATTCTAACTGAGCTGATGTGAAAAAAACAAACATGATGTCTTATTTCCGGTTTTCCCAGGTTTTATCGTGGAAAGAAATGACTGGATGTACATTAGGGGTTTTTAACCTACATCTTTTCCCTCAGACAAACACATCAAACTGATATTTTGAGGTCTGCTAGACAGTGAGACCCTCTGGAACGTCTTTATTACAGAAGCTCACCCAGATCCTCAGAAAAACAGCCAGAAGGGGGAAAATACCAACACTGCTGTGTTTTTATTCTCTCCTCTTGGTTTTTGGAATCCTGGAGGTGTAATAGCTCCATCTAGTGGACAATTCTAGTTATAGCATCCATTGCTCATTTGCAAGTTTTCCAGGTCTGTGCTGATAAGACAAGTCAAACAGGGGTTTCAGTGATACCTTCTAATTAAACTGCAGGTTCTGCAGCAAAGGTTTATGGGTCTAAATATGCCCAAGATACAGATGTTTGCATCCAAACACCTACTGACTGCTGACCTCATGCTGTGATTCAGGATTAATTGATGATTAATTGATTGATCTGTTTATTCAGGTCTATCAAGGCCCAGATACAGACATGGAGGTCTGCAGCCACCACCCTGGAGCGCCCGTCTTTCATGAGGGGTAAGAGAAAAGAAATTCACAGCTGTGTGTTTCCTCTTGTTTGCCCAAGGTCTAATCCATTATTCCAACATCATCACACTTGCATGGCTCTGCTCCCAAACAGCAATTACATGGGCTCTATAAAGCTGGAGTGTAAACAAATCAAGAGTAAAGGCCATGAAAGGGAAAGCAGCTCGGATGTTAAAATCATCAAATAACTGGCTCCAGTAGAAAGCGAATTATAAAATAAAGCTTCACCAATTCTGAGCATGCTTGTTTTCTTCCCTCTGCTGCCAACTGTGATCGTCTGTTTATTTAGGTACAAATACTGGAGCTGCTGCTGCATAAAGACGACAGACTTCAATGCTTTCCTGGACCAGAAAGGCTGCACCACAGGGAAACACCGCTGGGTTGCAAAACAGGTACAGGAACCACCTGGAGAAGGAACATCAACAGGCAGAGTGGGACGTCCATGAGCTAGATCATCTAGATCTTACTGTATATCAGGGGTGCAAAATTTGTTTTCTTTTTGTGGCAAAAACAGCGTGATCTATCTAAGATGTCCATTCTCCTTCTCAGGAGCAGTTTTTCTTAAAACAAATGCTTATTTGCAAACGTATCTATTTTCAGGACAAGAAGAAGGTGGCATGTCGACATGACTGGCACCAAACCGGAAACACAGTCGTGGTAACGATTTACGCCAAGAACTCAAACCCTGATTTCTGCACCATAGAAGCTAACCCAACAGTGGTGAGTAGAATGATGGGTATATAAACTAAAACAAACACTTCATACTGATGCAGCTTGGAGAAAATGGTACATATGCAGAGTTAATAACCCCCCAAATTACTTGCTGTTCACCCAAAACACACATATATATATACCTGAGCAAGAACTAAGAACAACTCATCAGAATTAAACTCTAACCAGATGAACTTGATTTAAGAACCAAAGTTGTTATTATTTGGCTTTATAATTTAACAACTGTTTGAAAAGTTGCAGAAAGTTTCATTTTGTTGAACTTTTATAAAGCAAAACCCAAATTCATCCTGCATGATAGCTCCATGTGGTGTTTGGTTGCAATGTCTGAGTGCGAAGCTTCCTGAGACATTCTGAGGTCAGCTTGGTGTAGAAAGAGCTGCATGTGGAGCTGGTCTCCATCTGTAGGATCACAGGCAGAAACCCAAACTGTGCTGATGCAAGTCTGACTCGTACCAAAGTTAGGAGTCTTCAATGGTTTTATCTGGATGGTTTGATGGTGGCCATACTGACAGAAAGACCTTCAAACGCCCCCCTTAGATTTCACAATGCATCAACTTATGTTTTTAAATATCAGAGAAAAAGAAACAGCTCTTAAACACTGATAAAGCTCATTAAACAGCTCTTTATTTCACTATGTTCCCTTTGCAACATATCTTTAAGTAAAAGTTAATTTTTACTTTTTGTTTCTGCTACAATTTTCTTCTCACACAATCACAATTTTTTTTAAATAAAAGGTTAACAGCCAGTTTTTTAATCTAAGAATGACCAACTCCAAGGTTTGTTTTTTTTTTTTTTTTAGAATAGAATAGAAAATTCCTTTATTGTCCCAAAATGGGGAAATTCTGGTGTTTACAGCAGCAAGAAGATTGTAGAAAAAATGGGCACACAAATGTGAACCTGAGAAAAATGTATAAGAATAATGCGATAGTGAAGAGTTAAAAAAGAAACACATAAAATACTGTAAAGTGTTTTGACAATATGAACACTGTGCACCTGAGGAATAGCTTCCATGTTTCTCATGTTAGAAACATAATGTAATTCCTTTCTGTAAACGGAGCTCAGTGACTTTAACACAATGCACTCACCATGTAGATTCATGGTAAACATTTTATGATAAGTTTTGGGATATAAATGTAGCTTCATGCAGCTTCTATCAGATCTCCTCATTATACTTTTTTCTACTTTCACTTCTTTTTTCTCTCTTGCAGCTTTTATGTCAAATCCAGTTTGAGAAGAATAAGATTTTCAAAAGAGAATTCCACCTTTGGGGGGTAAGTAACACAAAGAACCTTTAATTTAATAACTCACTTTGATCTTCAGTAACATGGGTCCAATAATGGGCAGTAAATATCTTGTTTATGGTGAGGCTATTTTTAAACACAAATGTTTGCTTTTTATATAAAACAATTAGTATTTATATATACTTTTAAATCCAAAGAGCCGTTTTACCACAAGACCAGCTGAATAAAGATCCTTTAGATCCACAAATATTACATGGCCTTAAGATTCCTACTTTCCTTTTTGTTAAATATCTTTAATAGAAAATGTGAATTAGGGAAGCTGAGGCAGAGGCATTTCTTGCAAGAAATACAGTTAAAATGTATTTAACGTCCTCAGACGGAGGGATAGAGCTCTGACTGAGGCATTTCAGTTCATTTATACCTTACAAAATCACACACACTCCCCCTACACTGCAAAAACAATCTAGAAATAAGTAAAAGTTACTTAAATTAAGTGTATTTACCCTTAATTTGAGTAGGTAAGTGAGAGATTTTGCCAATGGAATGAGTATTTTTACTCTTAAAATAAGATAATTAGATAAAATGCACTTGCAATAAGACATTGCAATTGTTTTTTTTCCTTTTTTTTTTAAATATAAATTGTCTAGTTCCATTGGCTAAGTGTCTTATTTACCTCCTCAATCCAAGAAAAAATGCACTGATTTTAAGAAAAAATTACTTATTAAGATTATAATTTTTTTGCAGTGTAGGGGAACGAACCCACCCCCTGCATAAGGAAACTTTCTCACACTTTAACATTTGGTTATTCCCAAGAAAAAAACACATTCATCAAGGACATCAATTTCAGCCAGATTAACACGGCATGAAGACAAACAGACTGCTGCAAGACTTCTAAACAATCCCTATTTAGGCAAAATATTTTATCTCACAAATAGGCCAAGGAAGATTTATGCTTCCACAAAAATCTGCAAATTTATTTGCTTTTTTAGTTTTTAAAATAAGGACAAAACATGAAGGTTTATTAAACAGGCATCATTTTGGATTATATTCTACTGGATATTATTCTATAAAAATAAACACTTAGTTTCCAAGCTAATGACAGTAAAAAGTAGATCTAAAAGCATGTTTTTATGTCTTTAATTTCATTCTGTAGTGAAAATTAAATTCCAATGTTCTATAAAAACTTGCCAAAGCTTATAATTATGGTATTTATAAACCATTCTATATATCATCTGATGGAGAGAGTCTGCAGGAATGGAATGATTGTTGACCTCCATTGAACTTTCAGGTGGTCAATGTCAAACAGAGCTCAGTCAACATGGTCCCGTCCAAAGTGGAGATCACGCTCCGCAAGGCCGACCAGGTGGCCTGGGGCAAACTGGAGGACCCAAACTACAAGCCTGAGCCGGAGCCTGTAGATGACGACCTGAACGAAGCCCAGGAGTCCTACCAGCCCGACTGGGACATCGACGATGACGACATCAGCGACTCGGATGAGGAGTGGGCCTACGACACGCCTGAGAACAAGAAGAAGGTGGAGGAGATCGAACAGCAAAGGAAGAGCAGGGAGGAAGAAGAGATGCAGAATTTAAAAAGGAAGGAGGTGGAGGAAGAGATGAGAAGATTGATGGCGGAGCAGAAGAAGATGGAGGAGGAGAAGAGGAAGCTAGAGGAGCAAAGGAGGGAGGAGGAGCAGGAAGGATATGAAGACATGCCTGATTTGGAGGAGCATGGTGGTGATGTGGAGTGATGTCACACAAAATAAGCAGTTTTCTTTTTTTCTTTTCTTTTTTTTTTGTAGCAATCAAAGTTACATTTTCTGAATGTGAAAAAGGTTAAGATATCTGCTTTTTTTTCAGCCATAACTTAATGTTATGTAAATACCTTGACGCTTTGTTTTGCATGATAAAACGATGAGCCCACTGCAGGTCTTTTTATTTTATAGTGCAACCTAAGCAGAAGACAATAAATGTTTTCTATGTCTTTCTTTCTGTCTAAGCTCATCTTTCTTTAATAGTTATTTGGTGCTAAACAGAATCTCTCCGAAGATTTGATCAGATTAAGATAATTAGCAAAAAGAATGTGATGATTTAAGTGAGTTAAGTAAGAGAAAACAACAATATTACTGAATAATTTAATTCCAATTTAATAAACAATATTTTATTTTTCTCTAGGGGAAATTGAATGTTAAAGTAACTCATAAGTTGTGGCGTTTTTTAAACTAGTTGTAGGCGTTGATAGCTGTGGGCAGCTATCCACGATCCTCACTTTTGTCAATATTTTCCTTCTTTTTTCAAAGAATTC